GAACATACCTCAACATAATTAAAGCCATATATAACAAACCCACAGCCAACATCATTCTAAATGGAGAAAAACTGGAAGCATTCCCATTGAAATCAGGAGAAAAGGATGTCCACTATCTCCACTCCTTTTCAACATAGTGCTTGAAACTCTTGCTAGAGCAGTAAGACAGGAGAAGGAAATTAAAGGAGTACTAATTGGAAAAGAAGAGCTCAAATTATCCCTTTTTGCAGATGATATGATACTATACCTAAGAGATCCCAAATGTTCCACCAGAAAACTCCTAGAACTGATCACCACTTTCAGTACAGTGGCAGGTTATAAAATCAGTCTTCAAAAATCAGTATCCTTTCTATATACCAATAACAAGCAATTAGAGAAAAAATACAGGGAAATGCTCCCATTCACAATTGCTGCAAAAAAATTAAAATATCTTGGAATAAATCTGACAAAACACACCAAAGATCTCTACAATGAAAATTTTAAATCATTAAAGAGATTGAGGAAGACACAAGGAGATGGAAGGACCTCCCATGTTCATGGACTGAAAGAATTAATATTGTTAAAATGAACATCTGACCGAAAGCAATATATAGATTCAATGCAATCCCAATCAAAATCCCCATGACATACTTCACGGAATTAGAAAAATGCATCCTTAAATTCATATGGAGGCACAAAAGACCCCGGATGGCCAAAGCAACCCTGAGCCCAAAGAGCAATGCTGGGGGGATTACTTACTACAGAGCTGTAATCATAAAAAGAGCATGGTACTGGTACAAAAACAAACACATAGATCAATGGAACATCATTGAAGATCCAAACCTGACTACATGCAATTTCAGCCACCTGATATTTGACAAAGGTGCCAAGAACACAGTGGAGGAAAGAGAATCCTCAACAAATGGTGCTGGCAAAATTGGAACTTGACCTGTAGAAGATTGAAACTAGATCCTTATCTTTCATCTTGCTCAAAAGCAACTCCAAATGGATCAAAAACATCAATGTGAAACTGGAAACTCTGAAATTATTAGAAGAAAATATTGGCAGTAACCTATGAGAGATAGGTGTTGGAAAGTATTTTCTAAATTGGACAGAAGGTGCTCAGGAATTAAGGTCAGCAATCAATAAGTGGGACCTCATTAAACTAAAAAGTTCTGTACAGCAAAAGAAACGATCAAAAAAGTGAAGAGAAAACCCTCAGAATGGGAAAAAAATCTTCACTAGTGACACATCTGACAGAGGTTTAACATCCAGACTATATAAAGAACTCAAAAAACAAAGAATCGAGAAACCAAATAACCAATTAAAAGATGGGCTAAAGGTCTAAACAGAGAGTTCTCAAAGGAAGAAATAAAGATGGCTAAGAAACATTTCAAAAAGTGTTCAACATTGTTAGTAATTAGGGAAATGCAAATTAAAACCATCCTAAGGTATCATCTTACCCCAATCAGACTGGCTAGGATCAAGAGAACAAATGATAACAAATGCTGGCGAGGATGTGGAGAAAGGGGAACGCTCATTCATTGCTGGTAGGATTGTAAACTTGTGCAGCCTCTATGGAATACAGTGTGGAGAACTCTTAAAAAACTAAAAATGAACCTGCCATATAA